ACAGTGACCCTGAAAGCTGCAGTCAGTTCGCTGAAGCAGGACCAAAGCCCGGGTTGCTTTATAGTAACCTCAGCATGTTTCTGGACTGTGGGAGGAAGCCGGAGAACCCGGAGAGAACATTTAACTCACACGTATGATCAGCTGTTTCCACTTCTTTGCCTCCGGGCAGCATAAAATCAGGCCAATAGCAGCTGATACGGAGGAATAATTACAACTTTTCCAGCTGAAATATTCATTACAGCCATGTGTGACGCAGCCTACACCACCAGCCTCTGAGGACACCGTGCTGCCCAGTTTGCTCACTCCAAAGCAGCTCATGTAAATGAGCCTAATCTGTGTTTCCTTCAGTTCATTTTTTTGGAAAGTTTGCTCGACATTTTAACGGAGACACAACTTGTGAGCGGTTGCTCGTTAGCAGCGTACCATTCTGCAAACAGCTCGGGGCAGTTGAGGGTCTTGCTGACGATGCGTGCTCCCTGAGATGGCGGGTTGGACCAGGTCGTCCTGACGATCTTCTCCATCTGGGAAAGGATGCGGGTCAGGTTCTCGTTGTCCTGGGCAACCACTGTCAGGTTCCCCACTCTCTCATCTGACAACAGCGACGGAGACAACATTGTTCACTTTAAAGCACAGAAGGTAGTGCCTACTTTATTTGGGCCTTTATTGCTAAATCTTGCACAGAAAACACACAGGATCATATGATGTGTGAGCACCGTCTGTACTCACTGTACAGGCCAAAGTTTTTGGAGAAAGACTGAGCCACAAAGAGCTCAAAGCCCTCGGAGACAAAGAACCGGATGGCCCAGGCGTCTTTGTCCAGGCTGCCGGACGCGAAACCCTGGTAGGCGGAGTCGAAGAACACGAACAAATTCCTCCTCTGGAGAAGGAAAAGAGAGAAGAACAGTAAATAAAGATAAACAAATCAGAATACAGTTAAAAACATTTCCCTCTTTGACCACAGATTAATAAATCTGTTGGAGGCGGACATCACCAGTGTGATCTGAAGAACACCCGCTTACCTTCATGATCTCTGCGATCTTCTTCCACTCCTCCTGGGTCGGGTCGGTTCCGGTGGGGTTGTGTGCGCAGGCATGGAGGACGAAGATGGAGTGTTCTGGAGCTTTCTGTTGAGGGACAGAGAAGGTCAAACAATCTGTTATCACTTTGAACTATCATGGTCCGATCTTTTGTTTTCCTTTTTTTCATGGTCTCTTGCAACTAAACAGCAGTCTGATAACAGTCTGAAAGCTGCTGCTGAAGGTTTGCCAGGGCTGACAGAGAACAACCATCTGGAGAAACACAGAATCCTTAAAGTATCTTTGGTATGTGACTGGTCTGGACTGATCTTTTTAGTTTTCTGATTTAACATAAAATGAACAGATTTACCTCGAAAAGTCATTGATTCGCTTAAAAATGCAGCTACGCAGCAGGATGTGGCAGCTGTGGGAAGCTGCTATTCAGTAACATGTGATAAACATCACTCATGTGCAACATTGTGATGCGAGAGGAGAACGGGATCAGAAGTGAGATCGAGATTCAGTCACACGACACACTGACGACACTGTTCACACTGTCCAGGTTCCTACACGATGCACCAACTGTGGAACACTAAATCTTGTCATTATGATTGTGTACAAACGATGACGGTGAGCAAACTTCCATCCACCATCTATACACCGCTTCATCCTCACTAGGAGGGTCATGGGGGGCTGGAGTCTATCCCAGCTGACTCAGGGTGAAGGCAGGTTCACCTGGACAGGTAACCAGTCTATCACAGGGCTACACTTAGAGACAGACAACCAAGCACACTCACATTCACACCTACGGACAATTTACAATCACCAATTAACCTCAGCATGTTTCTGGACTGTGGGAGGAAGCCGGAGAACCTGGAGAGAACCCACGCTGCACGGGGAGAACATGGAGACTCCACGCAGGAAGACGCAAACCGGTGACCTTCTTGCTGCGGGCATATAAAGATTAAAAAGAATGGGACCTAAAACTGAGCCTTGGGGAACCCCACACCTAATTTTATGGGTTCCTGTTCCTACAGACAATTTACAATCACCAATTAACCTCAGCATGTTTCTGGACTGTGGAAGGAAGCCGGAGAACCCGGAGAGAACCCACGCTGCACGGGGAGAACATGGAGACTCCACGCAGAAATATCCCGGGTGTCCTCACCGGGATGCGAACCGGCGAGTGCTAACCACTGAGCCACCGTGCAGCCTGTGAGCAAACTTGCACTCTTGGAATCAGTCCCTGCTCACCTCCAGATCATCCTGGAATCCGGTGAAGTCCAGACCCCTCTTAGCAGCATCCCAGTAGTGGTAGGGGCGGATGTCTTTAAAGCCAGCATCGGCAAACACAGCATTGTGGTTCTCTGGAAGAAAGAAGAACACAAAGCAGATACTTAAAACAACAGTTGTGACATTTATTACCAATCACGTCATCCTAAAATCCTAAAACAGCCCAAATCGTTCAACTACTGGGTTCAACAAATATCTGGGAGAACAAGTTTTTTTCAGGCTACAGCGAAGGTTCAGAACTTTGTTCCCACGTTGCAGCAGGACTCGGCGGTTTACTGACCCCAGGTGGGTGCTGAGACGTACACAGGTGTGGCTGTGTTGTTGACGCCGTTGTACCACCGTCGCAGAAACTCTGCCCCGATCCTCAGAGCACCGGTCCCGCCCAGAGCCTGGACTCCTCCGACCTGAGAGAGAAAACAGCAGCGATGCGACGGGATTAAGGAGAGACGAGGAGAACGCGGTCAGTAACGTGGAAGACGAATCGATCTATGTACTGTAATAAGATAAAACGCAGGAATAGCAGACACCTACACAGCTTATTTACTCCAAGTTAAGTATAATTGTAATTGTGAACTAATAAAAAATGCATCATAGTGTTGTAAACTAAGCACACAATCTAGACGTCTGGACCTTATCAAGGCAGCAAACAGGCTCATTCATCACATGTCACAGCTTTAAAATGGCCTTTTGTCACCAGCAGAGCCTTTCTGTTTCTGATAGAGGCATGATCATCCACTCTTCCTTTCAGATCTCATCAAACTTTCATCATGTTTAAGATCAAAATACAGATTTTAGGTCAAGTTTATGTCAGCAGACTGTGAAGCAGTCACAGCCAGAGCTTTGGCTCACTGTTCTGTGGGAGAAGTCAGCTGTTTTTTTTTTTTCATTTCCACTTTCTAGTCAGTCAGGAAACCTCCCGTATTCGCTGAGCTTCTTATGAAATCCTTCTTCGAGCTGCGCGGTGTTTCCTGTGTCTTCGTTTATACCTTGCACCCACACAGCTGCAGCGATTTAGGACTGCTAATGGAGGCTTTTGTGAGCGCCGTGGACCCTTTTGTTAGCCTGATTCTTTAGTTGGAACCCTAAGAACAAACCGGAGAAATCTTCAGTTCACAGATGTAGAATTTATTTGGGTCACAGGTAAAGTGAGGCAGCGCTGGATTCAGAGTGACAGAGCATAATCTCATGTCGAGCTGAACTGAGTTTTTCTGGGTTCAGGTTACAGATATCTTCTTGGGCTGGTTCTGCCCCGTGCAGAGGTTGGACTAACCAAGGCTAATTGTCCAGTTACTGTGACGTGAACAGGCTAACCACTGCTCATGTGGAAGTTCACTGAAATGTTAACACAAACTGCTTGGATCGAATACAAAGTGTGTGTGTGAGTTGTCCAGAAAGTAACTGATAGAACAGGGAAGTTTCCGCCATCTCCCAGCATGTGAACCGGTTCTCACCGGCCGAGTTATCTTCAAGGATGTGCTCAGTAGAAAAATATAAAACAGAATCACAGGCTCAGCGGAGAATTCAGGATACACGATAGCTCGAAACATCATTAATTATAACACTTTCTATTGGCAAAGAGACTAATTAAGGGCATTTTCTGGCCCTACTTCCTGCGTATGCTGCACATGAATGCTCATGTGATGTGTGCTTTGAACAGACTTTTACTCTGAAGTGATCTTTAAAGGCTCATCCAGACACAGGCCTTTATTTGTTAAACATTAAAAACATTGAAGCATGGCTGTAGTCTCGGTTTATTGCTTAGAAGTAAAGGATCCAAACTTTTGCATATGGAGCTAATTCAGTTTTTGAAAGTTAAAGAAATAAAAAGTGCATTCTGAAGTGCAGCAGAGGGTTGCATTTGCCTGTTTTGACTTTCTAAAAAGATTTCGCTGTTTGTTTGGTGTCCAACCTTTGGCTGCGTCCGTGTGTCTCACCCTGTTGTCCTTGATGGCGGCGCTGTCGTCTCCCAGAGCGACCTTGGAGGAAGCAGAGCGGAACTCCGGCAGACCGAGGATTGGCAGGTATTCGTGGTTCAGGCTTTCGTCCTCCACGATCAGCCGCTCCACCTTCTTCACCACCGGCAGCACCCAGGGCAGGCAGTCATCGGTACGGTAAGCTGGAGCGAAACGGCATTTAATCAAGCAACCACAGAGACCAGTAGTCGCCTTATAGGTAACACACACTATTGCTCACATCTGGATTTCACTCAGTTTAAAAACAAAACAAGAAATAGTAAAGTGAGAGACAAAACTGGAATTTCACTTCACTTCATATACTTTCTGGCCCTCTCTGGAGGTCTCTCTAAACAGCCAGGCCAAACTAAAGCACTGCACATATCTGACTTGCGTGTTGACTCATGCGGCGCTGGAGCCGGTATCAGATATCAGGCCTTCGCTGCAGCTACAGACGGTCCCCATGAATCAAAGGGCAAACAGACTTTAAAGGTCAGACAAGTACATGAATCTGTGGACGGACAGTTAATATCAGTCGAAACTATGTAGTGTGCTGCTATGGACAGAAGAGAGAGCGACTCCAGGATAAGACTTGAGGGCCAGAGCCACGGCTCACGGTGTCTAATGCGAAATGAGTCAAGTAGAAAACGGACCTGGAGAATTTTTCTAACCCTGTCAGCTGCTGAGTCCAGGGACGGGTACTGTTGAGAGTTTAACAGAACAGTCGTGACTCGATAATCCGACACTAAATGTAAAACCTTCTTTTAAGTCAGATAGCAAGGCTGTCGGTACGTTGAGGCTATTTTCTGTGGGTTCTGTTCGTTTCTCCTAAAAACCTGTCAGATAGCAAGGTTTTAGATTGTTAAGGGTCGGATTATCGAGTCACGACTGCACGACTACTTTTACCGACTGGGTACTTTAGCTGTGTTCCTGTCTGTACCTTTTGATAGGTTTTGATTTTTAACGAGAGAAAAACTGAACAAGATAAAAACAGAATAGAGATTGCTTCATTTTCTCATATGTACTCAATGGGAAATAAAAGTTACAGAAACGCTAATCTTGTGTTGATGAGATGATAAGAGCTCTGTGGACAGTGTCACGGCTTTTAGTCACAAAATAAAATAACTGTCCAACATCCATCCATTCATCATCTATACACCGCTTAATCCTCACTAGGGTCGTGGGGGGCTGGAGCCTATCCCAGCTGACTCAGGGTGAAGGCAGGTTCACCTGGACAGGTAACCAGTCTATCACAGGGCTACACTTAGAGACAGACAACCAAGCACACTCACATTCACACCTACGGACAATTTACAATCACCAATTAACCTCAACATGTTTCTGGACTGTGGGAGGAAGCCGGAGAACCCGGAGAGAACCCACGCTGCACGGGGAGAACATGCAAAGCCACCTTGAACAGATATCAGGAATATGTCAGGACAGTGTGTTTAATACGGGGCTACCCATCTCCAGCTGCTTCACTTCACCACAAAGCCTAACAAACACATATAGTTTAAGGCATGCACGTAGCTACTGATTGCTGGTTATGGACACGTTTATTTCTTTACAGTTCACCAAACATCACTAATGAACCTCATTCAGTAAGTACGTCCTACTAATGAATGCCGTTTAACCGACACCTTGAAGCCATCGCTGCTGGCTGTGTACGTACACAGGAGGCGAGGCTTTTAAATTTGGTTCCTCCGCTGCTAATATTTTCTGGGGAAACTGGTTTGGAGCACAGGAATATGTTTTGGCAACGAGCTTCAAAGTCCACGTTGCATCACCAGACAAGGTGAACTTTAATAACCCCGTAGTGGTGAGTTGATGAAGAGGAACTAGAACTAATGACTGTCTCCAGATTCACAAAGTAGTAAATGTTGGAAGGCATTTAGAATTTAACCACACATGCGGGTTATACAGAGCTTTAACTTTATATAACATCATGAATAAATCCTAATAGCACCGTATGTCATCACTGATTGAGCTGGCTCATTTGATCAGAATTTGGATTTTTGTCTTCTTAATGTACCGACTTGGCAGCAGTTTTTTTTTTTTAACTTAATATAACACTGACAACATGACATGAGACTATATAGCTAATGATGTAATGCTTGTAGGTTCATATACTGCAAATAAAAGTTGGACATCGCCTATAGAAGTGCATTGAATGTGCATTCTTTCTAACAGCCAGCAGGGGGCGACTCATCTGGCTGCAAGAAGAAGTCTGATTTTAAAGACATCTACGTGGAAATGACCCTGCTTCTCGTTTAATTTGTGACCTCGGTAAACATTTTCTTCAAAGGTTTATGGTGTCGATGGAACATTTTCAGACCCATTCAATACAGTGCAATGTTCATTTTGTAAATTATGCTCCCACTCACAGAACAGTACATAGCATATATTTGAAGCACTGTGGTGCTACTGTGATGGATCGACCTACAAATCCCCAGACAGAAAGGGAGTGTTCTTGTTTGACGAAGAGCGCAGCATTAACTCATCACTTTCTCCTTTTTTTTTTGAGTGAAGACATGCTCATTTTTACCATTTCCACTAAAATCAGGACTCGTATCGTAATCACTCAGCCTTTGTGTGTAGTTTTCTCAATCAGATCTCCCACTAGCTCATTACATCTTTTATCAAAAGACCACGATGGTCACGGCTGAATGAGGCTTCAAAACAGTCGTCCAAAGGGCGACTACGTCCATCATATTCATGCAGTCTGTGGTTAGGTTTCTACAGTTTAGCCTGTGATAGCCTGATTAAAATGGCTAATTCAAAGAAGAAGAAGAAAAACAACAACCCTCTGGAGGACTGCTTTACTGCACGACCCAAAATCCCCAAATTTTTTAGTGTTGTAGGTTGATGTTTGGAGATTGTTGTTGTTGTAGTTTTCTATAGTGAAGAGAATTATGGCAACAGTAACAACCGGATAGCAGAAGGGGAGAAGAAATGTAGGATAATAGCAGGCCTTTACCCACAGGCTACATCCAGTGAGCTAGACGAGGCAAACACTTTTACTCTCTCGTTGCTTTCATGACCAGAGCAGGCCCAGTTCCCATCACTAGGTGGGCCTGGTTCCCCTAACCCGACACTAGGGGTCTTTAAAACCTAGGCTCTGCTGTCAATGATTCTAAATACTCATCTGTTGTACCGCTCTAGCCGTCAAAGGTAATCAAACAAGCTGTCACACCATATTAGCACCACTAATGGCAGTTTCTGAGGAGCACAGATGACATCATCTCCATCACCTGTCACACTATGAACTGCCAGCATTGAAACCAGCAGGACTACTGAGATTAAAGACAGACAACCAGCTGCTTTGAAAACACAAAACTTAATGATCCAGCGTGAAGTTAAAAATGACAAGAGGCCAGGGATCACCGATCTGTGAGTCTGGTTCAGTGGAGAATGGTGCGTTCAAGGACACAGATGGGACAAGTTAAAAGCACCTGCTGTGTACATCACACGTCAGGTGGTCTCTTTAACGGAGAGGTGCATGGTGGGTAAGACAGCAGTCACGACACCAGGCTCTGCTTCGCTCAAGTTAAATTCATTCAGTGTTGGGGATGTAGCAGCTAGCAGGTGTAACGTTCAACACTTAAACTGGAGTGTGTTCACTGTTAGCATCAGAGGGAGCTAATGCATGCTCCGGCTCGTTAGCTTCACTGCGAAGGTCAAATGAAAGAGTTGCTAATGTGTGGTAGCATAACATCATAACGGCTCACACACACTCACACACACACACAGAGGTGGGGAGCTAAAACACGACAGCAAACACAGCCGGCAGGAGAAGTTTCTGCTCAGCTAGCCCGCTGTCACTGTAGGCTAAACTAGCTTTAGCATTAGCGCGTAGCTCCGGTCTCTTACCTCCGACTCCCAGATTCACCTTCTGCGGGTGGCTGTCCTCCCTGAAGTCCGCGGTCAGTTTGAAGACCGCTACGGGCGGGGCCTGCGGGACATCGGTGAAAACGGACATGGCTCACGGATAAGCAGATGATCCCGGTGCGGTGCAGGAGGAGCAGATGGGGAGCGGGTGCTTCCAGCGACGGGCAGTGAGAGAGACGGACCGGGTTCACCTTCACCCCGCTGGTTCCGGACTGACAGAAAACAGGCGTCAGTCCGTCCGCCAATAGGAAGACGCGTTACAGTGACAGTGACCATGAAACAGCCAATGAGAGCGCAGCAATAAAAAAATGACAATATTTTTATATTTTTCATATTAGGTTTATTCATGAAGTATATTTTCAGACTTTGTAGGGTTTTTTTTATTACTGAATTTATCTATTAAAAGTAATCGTGTGAAATGCAGAAAAAAAAATGAACGTTTTGAAAAAAAAATTTTGGATCCTGAAGAAGCGCTCTCTCATCTCGTTTGTGCTGCTGTTGTATGTACAGCAAAATGACAGTGAACTTGATTTGATTTGAATTCCCCCTGTGACTGTTTGGTGAGCATCAGTTTAGATTATTGTGGCGCGTACATCAGCATAAAGGCAGGATTTTGCTGCTGTTGTTGGTTGAGGTGGGTTTGTATAAACTCTGGAGGGGGAAAAAAGTGAGAATTGTATATCACAGTTACCTACAGCACACATTGGCCACCTCACAATTCTTGTTTTCCATAGTCCAACCCTCAAAATAATTACAGGTACATGAAAATAATTAGATAATCAAAATGGGATAACAATCCTTCACATTTGAGAAGCTGGAACCATGAAAAAGCACATAAATGATCACCAAACTAGTCAATTACTTTTGTGTAATCAATCGACCTATCATTTCAGCTAGTGCAAAACTAACTAATTAAAAGTGTGAATTAACTGTAAATAATAATAATACTAAAACACAAATACCTTAAGTTTGTGATTAAGACCAGAGAACAGTGCACCTACTTTAGCAGCTACATTCAACTGAAACTGACTATACAATGCAATCCATGCCACCTGGCAGTATTAATATTAAAGATAACGCCTGATGATGCAGTTTAACATTATGAGCTTAGTTGTAATACAACTACGGTGTTATTACTCTTCATAATTTTATCTTGTGGCACCAATAGACTGATTTCTGTCATTGAGATTTGACATAACTGTAATTACATGTGTCCATCTTAAGATTACATTAATAATGCTCATAGCTTCTAATGAAGATGATGATTGCTATATTGAAGCCTGTATTTACCCTAAGAGAACATTGTGAAGCCGTCTACTATTAATCCAGTCTGGCAGGATATAGCCTAGCCTATGTTTGGACACGTGCATGTGCAGGCTGTCTGGATTGTTCGGACATCTTTTACTAATCCATATAGTTACATCCAGCATTTATGAACTGTCATCTGTCCCTCACATAAACATACAGCAATACACTGAAGATAAGCTCAGCGTGTCACCAAACTGTCCATCTGACAGCATGCGACGTGTCAAAGCCGAACCACAGACTGTATGAGCTGGACTTCTGCCACAAGATGTCAGTGTGGCTGTGCAGAGGAATGTGCAGAGTCACAGGACTGCAGGCTCTGTGGTCCTCTCTGCTGGGCGTTTCACTGGATCATAAAGTGTATAATGTCACCCTGATTTTAGAGTTTACGTCAAAATACGTGACTGAAAATACTAAACCATTTACAGGAAAGGTGCTAGTTTATGTTCCTTTACTCCAGTTGAACCAGCATGTTCACTACTTTTGTCAAATAAAACATGCATTTGACGTTTGTATATTTGATTTTCAGAAACTTTAAGCATCTAGTAGGAAGCAGTCGTAGCATAATGTAAAGATCCTGTGAAATAAGCAATGTATTAAAAGCTGCGAAATGTTTGAATGTTATTAGAATGAGAAGTTGTTTTATTATTAAATTAATTTTAAAAAATAGTGGTGCACGAGCAAAATATCTGCTTGATAAATGAAGAGGAGTAAAAGTACAAGGAAATAATAAGGTTACATATGTGTACCACACATTTTTATGATGTACTTAATTACTTCCCATAACTGTTTGTTACTGAAATAACACATGAACCTCATACATGTTCCTTTGCACACACAGGCAGCTTCTTCTTCTTCTTCTCTGACCTGTTAAACTCTGCAGAGACGTCCAGGTGTGTTCTCCTCTTCTCGTCTTCCTACCTCTATCTCTGTCTCTCTTTCCTTCTCTCTCTCTCTGTCCTGGTGAGATGTGAAGTGTGTGATGAATAGCCTCAGCTTCACTTCTGTATAGCCTCCACTTTCAGCCCTCCTGAAGAATCGCTGTTTTGAAGTGTGACTCTTTGACACACACGTTCAACTACTTCTTTTCTCATTTGTAAAAATCCACAACTCGAATTCTAAACGTCCAGCAAACTCCAATTTTTAAACCAAATTTAGCTCCTCTTTTTTTTTTAATGTTAAAGACTCAACAGGACATGAACACACGCAGCACTTCACGCGTTACATGGCTGTCCGTCCTGCCGCTCCCCCTCTCACTCTGTCATTGCCAGAGATGATGAGGCCTCCTCCTCGCCGCCACTTTTTTTCCTTTTCCTCTGCCTCTCCAGAAACACTCCGGTGAACCATCAACAGTGTTAGATTTCAAAGGGGCGAAGGGCTAATGCTCCTGGATGAAGCTGATTGAGTCAATTTGTCGACATGATGGACGTTTGCGGCCTCGGCCCCTGCTCTCCTGCTGACTGCGGGGCAGGCTGCAGGCCTGACAGAGGCCTTCTCACATATTTTTCAGGGGTGTAAAAAAAAAAAAACAAGAGGGATGTTTCACTGTGCGGTGAGCGGCAGAGGGGATTGACCTTGTGACCAAACCTGGATGTGGCAAATTAGAATCTAAATCTCAGGTTTGTAGCACTGGTGGAGTCAAGTGTACTTTACAATCAAACAGTTATTGTCCAGATATCATCCATCTTTCTCTTTTTATTTTTATCACAAATAGTGCAAAAATGAAAATGGGATTCTTTACTGTTTTTAGGTAAAATTGGATTTTGTAAAATTCTCCCCTTTTGAAATTTGACTGAAGCTAAAGAGTAGAAAAAAAGGTAAATGAGCAACCAGATGAAATGCTAATTCATGGTTTCCACATCATCTTCCTGCACAGGCAGTGGATGCACAAAGTTGTATTTATACTACAACATAAAGTATAATGTATGGTAAACTGGGTTAAGTTGCCCTCCACACCATAATTTAATATATTCATTTTTCAAGTGAGGTCTTTTCTCGGATGGTAGTGGTCTTGTTCATCTTTAAATGAAATTGAGATCAATTTCCAGATCTGAGGGAGTTTAAAACAAATGGTTTTAGACAGTTTGACAGGAAAAAAAATAACTGTTTATGTTTTCGTAGGCATATACACACACATACACAAATTTCTTTACTATTTAGAGTCATGTAGAGAGTTATCTGTTAGTTTGAACGAAAACGAGCAAATACATTTTCTGTCATATGTGAAAATGTAAAAGCAGGACTTGTGAGAAAAGACGCTGATATCGGGTCGGAGGCCACTCATGGACTTAAGTAATTTTCAACAGTCTGGTCGAGATTTCTGATAAATTACGTTCCTC